CTTGATCTCTCCACATTATGCTCTCAATCCCTTCTGTGCTTCCTCACCTCCCACTCGCTCTTCTGCCATTTCTAATCCTGTCTTAGTCCTCATTATTCCCTAGCATGGGCTTCCTGAGCATTAACTAATCATTCTTGATTGCTGAACCTAAAGGAGGCTTTTCAATCCTCCCTTCTAGATCTCTCTGCATACCTGGCTCACCCTACCATCTCCTTGAGCCATCTTCTGTCTTAGCATCACACACTTCTGCCCCTATAGACACTCCTTCTCAATCTCCTTTGTTGACACCAACTCTAAATGGGTTCCTCAGGCTTGGTCCTGATGTTAAGGCAAAAGAATGCAGGAAGTATAACTCAGAGTGGACCTTTACCCCATGTCTGCCCATTATCTCTGTTTTTAATGTATTGACTTTGTCCTTTTCCAGTGAGGACAGACTCTCTATATTATAGAGAACTGGATACCCACAACCCTAAACACATACTCTAACAGACCTAACTAGAGAATAAATAAGGATTTTATCTCTTGAAATACAGTTTTTAAAATCTCAGAGAAGACCTCTAATGGGCCTGACTTGGGCCATGTGCCTTCATTTCAGACTGGTCCTGTGAGTGGAAAAGAAGTCCAGCCACAGGAATCTAATACAGATTTTGGAACCAGAAAATGGGTGCTGCAGAATCATACACCAAAAGTTCATAAGAGACTTTGGAACTGAATGGCAGGCAAAGGCTGGAAGAATTTTGAGGAGCATGATAGCAAAAGCCCTAAATTGCCTTGAAAAAAAATATTTATAGAAGTATGAATGATAAAGGCACTTCTGGTGAGGGCTCAACATTTTATTCAAAACTGGAGGAAAGATGATTTTGGTCACGTAGTGGCAGAAACTTAGCTTAAGTGTGTCCTACAGTTGTATGGAAAGCCGATCTTATAAATGATGAACTTGGATATTTAGCTTAGGAGACTTCCTAGCAATTTGGGAACTAAATGCCATCATAAATGTTATTATATGAAAGAGGTATGGGGAGATATGACCTACCCACAGAAGATGAGGAGGCAACGTGACCATAGAGGCAGAGACTGGAGTGATGCAGACACAAACCAAGAAATGTCAGCAGCCATGAGAAGCTGGAAGAGGCAAAGAATGGATTCTCCCTTATAGAACCCCCAGAGGAAGCATGGCCCTGCTGACATCTTGATTTCAGACTTCTGGCCTCCAGAATCCTTAAAGTTATGTCTAACCCAAACTCTTCTCCTCCCAATCAACTTCATTTCCAAGACCTAACCCTTCTACCTCTGAAGTATATTTCAAATGTGGTCACTTTTCCTCGTGTTCAACTCCATCATTCTAATCCAAGCCATAACCATCTTTCATCTGGGCTTCTTCAGTAGCCTTCTGTTTCCCCTGTTCTACCCTTGCTCCATTTCATTTTTTATACACCAGCAAGAATGAGCTGTTGAAAATGCAAAACCAATCGTGTCGCTCGCCTATTTTAAACTCTTCAATCGTTTTCAGTTGCGTTTAAGATAGAATCCTACTCAAAGTCTATAAGGTCATGAAGGAGGATCTGTGTGATAGATGCTATCATGTGCTGCCCAGAATACCCTTCGGGAGTGAAGGACTTATTCCCCCAACTGCGGGAGTGCAGTCAGCTGCCAGCCTTCAGCTGTCAGCTCCCTTTGGGGATTGCCTGAACTGAGGAGTTATCTTTCCCAAGGAGATGGTTCACCTTTCTGGAGTGACCTTCATTCAATTACTGACTGATGACAGGAAAGGGTGGTATAAAAGCCCAGCCTTCTCACTCCAACTTGGTCAGCGTTAAAGAAACAACCTCACAAGCTCAGCTGATGCCTCTGTTGACTCTGCATCACAGCTCAACTTTTCCTTCTGCCTTATCATGTTTCCTTCTCCTCCCTTCCATGGGTGTTGATCCCAAGAACATACCCTGATAAACCTACCATACGCTAATTTCCATCTCAGAATTGTTTCCTGGAAACCCAAACTGTGGTAATCTGTGAAGTAAATGTTGAGACCTAGGGAACTAATATTCCCACTGTCCTCTGTGCTGCTCAGATTATAATACCAGTTATAATTTAGATTATAACATAATCTAAAATACTATGAGACCTGCAGTGTTATGTTCAGTCTTTGGGGTTACATTTTAAGAAGGACAGTGGCAAAGTGGAGCATTACCAAGGAGGACAACTAGGATGTTGAAGGACTGAAAATCATGTGACAGGACAAATTGTTAAGAAATAGTGCTAGTTAGTCTGGAGTAGAATTAACTCAGTAGAAACATCATCATTATTTTCAGATTTTTTAAAAGCTGCCAAATGGAAGAAAATCTCACCTCATGTTGCTCCAGGGACTAGAATTAATAGCAATGGGTGAAGAAGTTTCTCGAAGCAATGTAATGGCCTTCTTGTGAAATAGTGTTCACTTGTACTAGACTTGTGTAACCACATCTTGAAGATAAAGTAGCAGAGATAGCTGAGCTTAGGGAAAGTGTTGACCAGATGACTAAGTTCTCCATGACAATATTCTATGACTTTCTGCTCCAGAACAGGGTTTTACAAACTACCTGAGGAGGTCGATAGCTGTAATCTGACAAATGGATTCCATGGCCAAGTAAATTTGGTAAAATGGTTAAATAAAGTTAGGACAGCTGTTTTTACTGCAGGGTTTCTTAAGAGTTTTAATATGTCAAAAATGCACTGTGAACATCAATAGAGGCCACCTGGGACTTGGTATTGCTCAGAACTTTTTTTGACTTATGGCTAGTCAAAAGAACAGGGCTAATGTTCTGTGGAAACTACTCTGAGAAGCTTTGCTTTAGAACATTATGTTCTTCTGAGTTGTTAGTGAGGAAAGGGTAATTCTTAACCCAGAATAAGGGAAATATAGATAATTGATTACTAGTAATTAGGGTTCTTACATATGTGAGTACTGGCTAAAAAGTTATAAATGTCTCCCCCCTTGGCAGAGAGGGTATATTTTTTCTACTTATGCTGTCAGCATGTGATCATGCCTGCTAAGCCCATCCTTGGCAGTATAAAAGCTATGGCATTATCATTTTTGTTTATATTCTTTATTAAGTGCCTCAGTGACTCTTTTTCAAGTTTACTAACCATTTGTATTTTGAGGTATTCATAAGTTTCCTGGATAAAGAATCCCTCAAATACATTTATAGATAGAACACACAATTAGGAGATGTACTTGATTATTATAGTCAAAATTCAGATCTTCAGAGACAGAAAAATCCAGTATATTTTGCTGATTGACCAGGTTCACTGAGTCTTGTGCCATATAGACAGTATAGTCAGTCCCAATTATCCAGCTGTCTAATCAATACCCATAATTAAATTCTCCATGTTTGCTCCCTTTTATTTAGCATTTCTGGTGACAATGTACCCAATCTAAGGAAAAAGAAAGTACCAGTGCAGCCAGACTGTTGCTTATGCCTGTCTTAATAATTCTTTGAGCTCTTTTGTAAAATGCCCATTCTAAAGGTCTGGTAATTGGCTTGGTGCTTTTCAGTGGAGTGTGAAGTGCTCAAAAAGCTCAGCTGCAAAGTGTCAGGTTGGTCCTATGACAATGAAGGATGCACAGCAGCTCTCACTGTTCCCAGACCACGGTGCTTTTTGCCTGATAGGTGAACAGCTGCCCTAACTTGTAGTTTGAAATAAATTGAGGCAGGAGAAGAAGACAGGGGAAAATTGTAGGATTAACTCATGTTTTTCAGAAATCTTTTCAGTTAGAAATACCAAAAAAAATTTATGGAGTAACCACCACTTTAAAAGAAACTGTGGGCAATAGAATTATTTTTAATAATTCTATTTGCTATGGAGATATTTTCCAAGGGCAAAAAAAAGGTAGCTCAAAATTAGTGGGTAGCTAATTAAAAAGAACTAGGCTATTAAAATTAACACCTCAAAGTCCATCTAAAATTTAAGAAGGCAAATCAAATGATGGCAAATTTAATATTTAATTAATTCACATTGGAATTAATAAATCATCTCTAAGACAAATGAATGGTGTAAGACTACTGCGTTCACAAATCAGTTTTATCCATTTGAAGTGCCGCCCATTTACTGGAGCTCTTTTATGGTAAAAAAGACACTCCCCCCACCCCAAAATACATACACTCATACACACACATACACTTATAACACTGCAACCAAACACCAGAAATTGTGTTCCTATGGTAACTACAGCCCATTTTATTGCCGTCATCTTAACACAAAGTCAGTTTTAGAAATCCACTGTGATGAAAAGGGATATCTGTTCACACTTGTTAAGCTTTCTATACCACATGTGATAGCATGTTTTTGTTATTGGCTGGGACTATATTATGGGTCACGAATCATACAAATTTTATAGTTTGATTAATAACATTGTATCTTACGTTAACAAAAGTCTTCAAACACAGACGGTCACAGACACAGCTATCTTAAATCACTCTGTGCCCGACTGTGCCATCTGCAGGCTGAAGAAACTCTGAGTATGGTCAGGAAGCCTCCGATGCCATGGGGAGTGATTGAGGACTCTAGGGGCAATCTTGCTTTTCTATGGAGACTGTGTACCTTTCCTACTTCCTTGTTTTCATGAGAGATTCCACTCCCTCCCTGAAGCAGTAGATGATGTCAGGGATACAAGAAGTCTGTTGGAAATGTTATTGAGTGCACAAGTATTCCTGTATTTAGTGGAATAACTAAGGGGTTGGAGTCAGCGGACCCTGACCCTGCTATTGGTTGGCTTTGTGACCAGGGAGAATTACTTAACCTCCTTGGGTCTCAGTTTCTTCATCTGTAAAATAAGGGTTTGGGCTAGGTGACCTGAAAAGTCTGATTCGGCTTATATTTTTTGCAACATTGTGTTTAATGGAACTAAGTAACCTGAACGAGTGTGACCACTTTTCTGGATGTGATCAGATAGAAGAGTGGAGAACAAAACTATCTCCATCCCTGAAAAACCCAAGTGAAATTCAAAATATACAAACATATCTATATATAACTTGTTATTTTTGTTATTAAAAGGAAATAGAACCTTTGTCAAATGAGACAAAGCTAAGAGATTTTGTTTTATGTTGTGACTGCATGGGTGTTTACTGTGGTGCTACCTCCAAGATCTTGTTCCTTAGCGGAAAATATATATGGTGAGTTTGCAATAGGAAAACAGCTGGGCAGAAAGAGCTAGATGGGGCCAGAAATTCCACTGGAGATTCCCAGTAAGACGGTCAGAGTTCTTTCTCACCCAACCTGGGAAACAAAGGGAAATGGGAAGAAAATGTTACTCTTTAGGTAGTGCTCCACTGTCTTTAATAGCTCCAAATGGCTTTAGCTGTTTTGAAATTCCTCTCTCTTCAAAAGCACAAAGTCATCTTTCTCCCAGATGCCACTGTGCTTCCTGACATATTAAGAGCTATGGATATTTTCCTCATGATCTCAGGCTGTTGCTGCCTCTGTTAATCAGTCTCCCCTTGCTGCCCTTGCTACACGGTGTTGGCAGAGCCAAGTGGCAATATCTCAGCTGCTGCTTCAGCATTTGCTTTATAGTGACAGAGGCCGTATTTTCCCAACCCAAAATTTAGGAAAACATGGTGTGACAAGTATGAATGTACTCATGAGGAGAGTAAGACAGGATATTAGAAATGAAGGCTCTCCTGGAATACCCTTGACAAATCAGATCATTTTGGCAGCTTGCCATTCTCTGCCTGGTGAAAGGAGGGGACCAGTGGGTCTTCCAGTTAAATGATCTGATTGCTTCATATTCACCCAGATTTTTTAGACACCATGCCTTGAGTCTTTTCCTTGCCTCCCAAGTGTATATGGAAGGATGTTTTGGAATCAGGTCTGGAGCCAAAGGAATCCCAAGGCTTTCAGTTCCCTTAAGCACCAAGAGAAAGACCATACTTTCAAGAAACACAGGATCTTTTCTCCTCACGTTTTGTAATGCCTGCCATCCATGCTCTCTTTTCCTGACTCGATCCTTGAGTGCCTTTGGGACGGAAGCTCCCTAAGGGCAGGAAATGTCTGTTTTATTCCCTACGAAAGTCACGGCATCTAGAATCATACTCGGTACACAGAAGGGGCTCCATAAATATTTGTGGAATGAGTGAATGATACTATTTGGTCAAAGGCTGAACTATAGCAAATTCTTCTCATAAATTTGTGGCAATATCAGCAATAAGGACATTGTGACAAGAGAAATCTGTGATAGGAAGAATAGTGACAACTCCTATACCCTTTTCATTTGGTTTCAATTTTAGATGAGTCCCTCTTTATGTATTTATCAGTATTCAGTTGTATTTTCTCTAGAATGACAGATGCCTCAGATGCTACTTGTTTATTTCTTTGACCTAAACAGCAGTACATGCAAAGGACAAGAGTCCTCAAAGTACAATGTCAGATGTGTGTGAAACCTGTTTTGATCTGATCTTTAGTCATTGTTGCCTTGTTTGGGGCTTTTAAAAAGAAATGTCTATAAAATTCTATCTAAAAAAAATAAAATAAAATTGCCGCTTCTTTCTTAAAGTCATTTCTGTCCTTTTTTATTTTCTGTTTAAAAAATCCAATTCAGCTTCAAGTAATAATGACCAGGTTCCATTTATTTCAAATACCCAAACCCCAATGTTATTTCAGCAGTTATTCTCTCAAAAAAGCCTTACTACTTCAGAATGACAATTTTATGTTTTTCTAAATGAAAAAAAAAAAGTGAAACTGCAACAAAACTTATTATCTATTTGGAATTTCTAATAATTTGGATAAGGAACAGGGCTAAAGTTTATTTTTACCATACCTTGGAAGAAAGGATTAGTAAAGCCACTTTCTATGGCAAAAATTTAAATTATGTAGAAGTAACAGTTTCTAAGCAAACTGGAAAGATATTAACATAAATAAATATGCAAATAACATACTCTTTTTTTATACATTAAAACAGCTTCCCAAGAAACTCTACTAGACAACTTTATTTATCTAATGTAAAATACTATAAGAATGCCTTACATTTGTATAATGCTTTGTTGCACAATTTACTAAACAATGGCCTGTACTACATTTAATTGTCACAGCAACCCTGTGAGCTAGGATTATGCCCATTTTACAGATTAGTAAACAGTATCTCAGAGCGGTTAATAGACTGGCTCAAGGACACATGACTAGTAACTGCCAAAGCTGGGATTTAATTAAATGTAGGTCTTCAGATGCACGGTTCAAAGCTCGTTTCTCTGGAACACAGATGCCCATAATGGTTTTAATATGTTCTGTAATTTAGACTTTTCATTAATCCTGACAGTTCAATTAGCCCAAGTTAATGTGTTTTCCCAAGTCAGAGGGTAGAGTCAAAGAGAGCTTTGGAAAAAGATAGGCAGGGTAAAAGCGAAAATTTCCATGATCATTAACCAGTAGTGATAATAAACACTTCTCATACCCAGAGGGGTTTCAGAATGTTCTCATCCATATATTTATAATTGAACCCTAAGTTTAGAAGAAACCTTACAGATCATCAGCCACTTCCATCCTGAGAGAGAACATGAGTATCTTGCTTTGTGACTGGTGGAGGAGAAGGGTGAACATGGCTATGAATGCAGCTTCATTTATTTGTCTTGTCCTTAAAAGACGGAGGATTGCAAAGGATGAGGAATTAGCATAGCTTCATATTATTCCACAGTAACTCTAGAAAACACTAGAGCAATGCTTTCAAAGTCAGAAAGAAAATTATTTTCAACCTAGAATTCTATACTCAGCCAAACTATCAGTCAAAGGAAGGGGTGGAATAAAGAGACTTTTCGGACATGCAAAAATTTTGCTCTCTTACTTTCTCAAGAGGCTACTGGAGGATGTGCCCTATCTAAAATATCAAGAGAGGAATAACTCAACACAGGAAACAAAGCCTACAAACACAGATGAGAGGCAAAAAGAACTCCCAAGATATTGGTGAAGGGGAATTCCAGGCAGAGAGGGCAACTAACCTAGATTGAAGAGTTTCAAACATTTGTGGCCAAGAACAGTATAGAGCTCTATATTCATGGCCACCCTTCCCAGGCAGACATCATGAAATCCAGTGTGTTGACTGGATCTATGATAAGACAATGAAGTATATTTCTAATATAAAAGTTTACACTGAAATTTGGTGCCTGTCTTGTAATCCCTATTGATTGTAATGCAGAAGAAAACATAAATCACCTGAGTCATACGTGTGTGTGTGTGTGTGTGTGTGTGTGTGTGTGTGTGTTTGCATAGACTATTTCTGGAAGGATTCATAAGCCAGTAACTGGTTGTTTCTGGGGAAAGGAACGGGGTGGCTATGGGGCATAAGAGGGAGACTTTTCACTATATACTGTGCATCTTTTTGAGCTGCTTATTATAAAATAACATAAAATGCATCCCCCCTTTCTCAAAATTCCCCAATTCAACAAACATGCAGGTAAGTGCTCAATTTGATTGGTCGTGGGTGGATATGGGACCACTGAAAGAGATGATTCTCACTCCCCTGTGTGTTTTCTATTCCTCTAGTTAGTTCAGGGGCCATCTAGAGTGCTAGGTCAAAGGTGTGATTTTAATATGTATTTCCAAATTGTCTCCTGAAAGGTGATTCTAATTTATACAACCACCAGCAAAGGATTGAGAGAATCCATTTCCTTGTACCCCCAGAGCTACCTTTTTGTTTCTTTTACCTTATTACACTATTTGGAGATGATATTACTGAGCAATAATACTCAGAAAGATACTGTTTCTGCTTGGAGTTTTGGTATGAATTTTTCTGGACACAGACTGGATTTCTCACAACCTGGTGGCCTATTGGCATCTCTGCACGAAACACTTGCTCATGGCCAGGCTCCACATGCTCTTTCTGTACACCTTAGGGTTTTGTTGTTCCAGAACCGATGGAATACTAATTGTCCCCATGTAGTATTCGTAACGAAGAACTGAATTACTCTGAATGAAAGACAAAATCAACTTGGCCACTGAAGGCAGCCTCATAAGCATAGCATGAATTTCTCATCCACTACTGGATTGCTGAAAACATTCAATACTGCACAAAAATTTCTGCTTGTTCCTTTGCCAGCAGCAAAAATCCAACAGTGTCTAAACAATGGTTCAGTCCCAGGAGCAGTCAAGATGCCGTTGTCAATGCTCTCAGGGAGTTGGTTCTTTACTGGTTTGTGTTACCTGACAGTGTGGATTCTACTGCAGTGTGATGTCGTAGAGACAATGTGGGTTTTCAAATCAGACCCGTCTGCTTTGTACTTCAGCTCCACCTGTAGCTAGCCATATACCCTTGGGAACTTACTTTCTCTGAACCTCAGTTTCCTCATCTCTAAAACGGTCACTATAATAGTTATTTTACAGGGTCATAGTAAAGATTAAATGAGATATAAGACATATATGCAGAGCACCTGGCTTATGTGAAGCATTTCGTTCACACTTAAAAAAAATGAGTGAACCATATTAGCGAAATTAATTTTTTTAAACCACTTGGAATAGTGCCTGACTCATAATAAGCTTTCAATAAATGCTGTTAATAATTCTTACCTGTTTTTGATACTGCAGTGGATACTTTTACTGAATTGAAGGTATTCTTCAAAGAGTTAATCAGGTGATATCTATATTGAATCTCTTCTACATGCTCAGGCTGTGAGGAGGCCCAAAACTGCAGTGTCTTCCTCAGGCAATATACAGCCTAGTTGAAATAAGATAGAGATATAAAAGAAATTATCCAATAATGGAAAACATGCTGTCGGAAGCAGTAAGGGAACAGGACAGGACATAGAAGCTATGCAGGCTCAAAAGGTGAAGAGAGAGTGAGGGGGCGTGTTTTGGAGATGGGGAGGAGGAAAGGAGGAGGAGCAGGAGAGGGAGATGGGGAGGTGGGGGAGGGGAGGGTTCTGTGGATTGAATTGTGTCCCCCTCCAAAATTCATGAGTTGATGCCCTAATGCCCAAAGTATTTGAAGTTGGAGCCTGTGAGGGGGTGGTAAAGATTAAATAAGGTCACAATAGTGGGCAGAGGTAAGGACACAGCAAGAAAGCTGTTGTTCGCAAGCCGGGAAGAAAGCTCTCATTAGAAATCAACCACATTGGCACCTTGATCTCTGACTTCTAGCTTCCAAAACTGTGAAAAATAAATGTATGCTGTTTAAGCCACCCAGTCTATGGTATTCTTATGGTATTCTGTTATTGCAGCTTGAGAAGGGAGGAGGGTAGAGGAGAGAGAGAGAGAGAGAGAGAGAGAGAGAGAGAGAGAGAGAGGGAGAGAGAGAGAGAGAGAACTCTTGACAAGAATCTGCACTGCTCTTCGAAATCCCTTGAAATGAAGAGCAGAGATGTGGAGAAGAGGGTGGCTGAATTCCCAGTGAAGGTCCAGCAGGAAGACATGTCCTGGAGCCTGGAGTGAACAGTTAGGGAAGTGAACTTGGCCACATAATTTAGGACCAGCTTGGGATGGACTTTGAACTCCTTCAACAGCAAGAAGACACAAACGGTGGCAATATTTCAGGCAAAATAAGATTCAACATGGGATGCTTCTGCTAGACCAGCTGGCCATCCTTTAGGGTTTTTTGGGGAAAGTTTAATAAGTTATTCTATGTGAATCTTCACAGATAATGAGAATCAGTGTAGCTGAGAACAAACGAGATAAAGAATTGTAGGCATGATCCTGACCAGTGAACTCTAAATTACACTGAAATTGCTAAGTACATAATCATTCGCTTGCACAGCGTTCATTCCATAGAGACTGCCAAAGTGGCAAAAGTTCCTGTGTTCAACTGCATTTCAAAGAATCCTAAAATGTAACAAGAAAACTTGGAGATCGTCACATACCACCCAATAGAAGGCTTTCCTTTACAATTTCCGAGAAATTACCATTAATTTAATCTCTACCTAGACACTTCTTTAATGCTATTTAAAAAACAGCTTTCTCTCCTCTCAGGTTTGAGAAGTTTTGAATCCTTTTGGGAACAATTACCATACTGTCTAACATTTATTGAGTGTCAGTTACTATGTGCCAGTCACTGTGCTGACTGCTTTACTTGCTTTATCACATTTAAATTTCCAATTCTCACTTGGGAGCAAGGTTCTGTTTTTATGCCCATCTTACAAATATGGCAAATGAGGCTTAGAGAGGTTAAGTAACTTACCCACGGTCACACAGCTAGGATGAGGCAAAATTTGGACCCAGGTGGTCCACCCTCACAGCTTGAGCTCCAAATCAGATTTCATCTTGCATCGATCTACATCAGGGGTGTTCAATCATTTCTCCACTGACCTCACAGAAGGATGTGTCATCACCTGTTAATAACAATGTATCGCTACAGTAGTGACTCACAACCGGGCCTGTGTGCATATGGGGATTTGATTTGGAAAGGCCATCCGCCTTCTCAGGGTATTTATCCTTCCAGGTCCCTTTCTCCTCTGAGACACCTGTCCAATCCCCCCACCACCCTGAATGATTATCCCCAATCTAGATATATTAGGTAACACCTGGGAAGAAAATCTAATTGTTTAAATGTTAACCAATGTGACTAAAATATCAATTATTTTTCAGATGTAACCTCTACGAATACAGTACTTCACGTATGACTAGTATGGCTTCTATAAAGTAACCTGTCACCTTCATATTTTAGGGTGTGAAATCAATGGTAACCGCTTTTTATTTCATCTTGCTCTTACAAGCAGAAGTCTGTGCTTTTGGAAATTACAGTCGCATGAGATCCATTCCTTCATTTTCAAGGAGGTATCCAACCATTACAAAAAAGAATTAGAAAATCTAACTATTACAAAAAAGACACCATCCTGTCTCCTCTTAAATTGCAACAATTATTCATGTTGCATCACGGGTTTCTTCAGCTACAGTTTTAAAGACCATTCTCTCTGTGTTAGTCATGACCTTGTGTAGAATAAAGAATAGTTGGACAACATTTATTTAGGAGCTTCAAACACACTGTTAAGGTTGTCACCAGGACAGCCTATGGCTTTCTGTTGTCCCAACTCAATAAGCCTAATTCCTTCAGAGTTTCCTTATGAGTCAAAGAATTTAGTTGGAACTCTGTAAGACATGTATGAAAGCAACCCTGGAAGGACCAGTTAGCCTCCATCTGCTCTGCACTCCTGACCTTCACCTTTACCCCATCAGTCAGCTAATGAAAACATGACATAGGTCAAAAGAAAGACCCCCAAATAAGTCAACACCACTCTGGAAACGACACAGTTCAAAACCTCCCCATAGAAGGACAATAGAATCAACTTCATGGATGAATGGCAGCATGTCCTACTCCTTGGAACTTTGCTCCAGGTACTACGTATATCTTAATCTATAGAACTACAGATGTAAAATGTTATTTTCTATGTTTAATTTTTAAGATTAGCTATGTACTTTAGTTTTTATTAAACATGGCACATAACACACATCACATTGCTTAGCAAACAATAGCAATGACTGTGACTAAGACATGATATAATTGTAAGGCTGTGTCACATAGTCCACGTTTTTACTTTTGCATCTTACAGTCACTTTCTTCTTAAAAATAAATCATGGTAACTGTTGGTTAACTATGAATCCTATATTTTTCTTTGACAAATCTCATATTGTACATTACATCTGATATTAATGTGTCTAATTGTATTTCTGAAGAAAGCTTACACTATTCTTATTAACAATCTGCGTTGGCTTCTAATTCTCCACATTGTGAAGTTTAATCTTATGCTTTGAGTGGCGAAGCACCTCTTTGTAGGTTTAATGAGTACAATTTCAATGACATAGAAGCTACTTAGGAATATATTGAACATCTGTGAGCATAGGCATGAGTTCTGCACGATTTTTCTCATCACTAAAAGACACTCAACGTGGGCTGGCTGAGTGGCTCAGTTAGTTAAGAGCTCGCTCAAGAGTTTGAGCTCTGAGCAACAGCAGTTCGAGTCCCGGCACGAGCTGAACAGCCGCTGAGCTGCCAACAGGTGGCAGGATGGCTCAGCTAAAAACAAACAAACAAACAAACAAAAAGACACTCAACATGATGTCCCACCATACTGTCTAATTAACACATGGCTTTAGCTACCTTTGTGTTCTCTGAAGTCCAGGAATCAAAAGCAGATGTTCTTGTTCTACAACTTACTTTGGTAACCTACCCCAAGGAGGGTAGGTTATTTAATAATGTCTGGTACCATCTACTTATTATTCCATCACATTTCAGTTACATTTGTTAAGTTGCCTCTTAAGCCAGAGACATTAATCAGTCTTGGTTTTTATCATTAGAATGTATCATTTTCACAGTTGTTTAGCTTCAGGAAGTCTTTTGTTTGTCTTGTGTTAACTATATCTGGCTTTTGTGGTGCATTATCATGACACCCTCAATGGAAAGACTTCCATTAGATTATTTCTGTGGTAGTATTTGAAAGAAAATCTGTTTCCACTGAATAACTTGCTGCGATGAAATTCAAAGCCTCTCTTATGGAGTACACTGAGAGCGTCATTACAGAATAAACCTGCCACTTCATATACAAATATGGAAGAATCAAAGACTTTGAGACCTGTAGCCTTTCTTTCAAGACCCTGGAACATATTTTTGGTGTTTCAACTATTAATTGAAACCCTTGATGAAGGGAAAGAATCTAAATCAACTGACAGTCACAGAAAGCATTGAAAAAGATTCTTAAATCATAGCAGATTCTTAAATCACAGCTAGAACATGTTACATAATGTTGTTTTCTTTAAAATAAATAATTTAAAAACTGGTATACATTTTAAACAATAATATTTTTGTCTCCCAAAAAAGGAAGAGCATTGCCCTAAAAATCTAAAAAGGTGTGGTACTACTCACATGAGAAATATTTTCACAAATGAGGGGGTCCTATTTTCTCAGGCTTTAGAATTTAGTCATCTTTCTTTTCCCTTTCCTTCTCTCCAGTATAATTATTAAAAGCAAAACTACAAATAAAACAAATTTCAAACAATGAAACATTTTACAGACAATAATTTTTGGAACTAATGTTAATACAAAGGATATTTTAAGTTATAATGTTTAAACAACTTAAAAGTACTCAAAAACCCTTTTCTTATTAACATTTTTGTTTATATCAGTGATATTTTCTAGTCCATATCATATAGGTATATAGATTTTAGATTCAGAAGTTTTTTTGCATTTGTAGAATTATTGTATAAATTCTAGAATTTGTAGAATGTTTCTGAAAATTTTTCTGGTTGACAAAATTTTTGTTGGCATAATCATAATTCCATAGGTGACTATTAAGGGTTAGGAGAAATGATAAAATACCACTCTATATATTCTTAAGAATTACATTAAATAAAATTTCTAGAAGGCTTCTAGAAATGTCTGTATCATCTATTGTGGCATAACAAATTACTTTAAAACATAGCGGTTTAACACAACAAACATTTATGATCTCAGTTTCTGTGGCTTGCAAATTCAGGAGTAGCTTAGCTGGGCGATTCTACCTCAAGGTCTTTCATGTGGTAACTATAAAGATGCCATTTGGAGTGCAGTCATTATTGGGTCTTGGTGTTTGCTTTTAAGCTAACTTGCGTGACTGTTGGTAGGAGGCCTCAGCTGTTCCTCACATGAGCCTCTTCGTAGGGCTGCATGAGTGTCCTCACAAAATGGTAGTAGTGTTCCCCAGAGCAAATGTTCTCCCTCAGATGAGGGAGAACAAGAAGGAATGTTCTCCCTCAGATGAGGGAGAACAAGAAGGAAGCCACGTGCCTTTTATGTCCTAACCCTGGAAGTCACACGCCTTCACTTCTACCACTTTCTATGCATTAGATGCGAGTTTGCAAGTACAGCCTACATTTAAGGGCAGGGGAATTATGCTTTACCTTTTGAAGGGAGAAATAACAAATAATTTGTGGATATCTTTTAAAACCATCATGATTTTCAATACAAACTAGATTTGCTGCCTTTAAGAACATGATCTGGTGGGGGTTCACCACATGACTGACCACATTTATTTAGAAGTACTTGTGAGCATTACAATACCCTAAGGCAGATTATCCCTCAAGTTATAAGTTAAGTAAACTATATCTCTTTAGCAACTTTTTAAAAAATCAGCCCACTACTAGCTTAACATTTAATGTCTTTTGCACTTGTATTTTCCTGTTCAATCTTTATCAACTTTAGTAAAATGCTTGTGTAACTGCCACAAATTTTAACACATTATCGATACTTAAGAGTATATATATATATATATATATATATATATATATATATATATATATATTTTTTTTT